CAGAGCAGAGGTGTATCACAGACTTCACAGAATGATCTTCCCTACTCCTGAACGTTCTTTTAAACACTTAGTGCAGGTTAGACATGCAAATTGCAGAACGTGTGAAATCTGCCCAAACTCTGTGAGTTGGACACTATGGTGTGGTTATAAAATATAACTATGGTGTAGGAGTAATTAGCATAATAAAACTGTACTACATTTTAAACCACTCTATCAAGTAAGGTAAATTCTAAGTTACATTTCTAAGCATTATTAAACTAGTACTAGCATCTTATGTCATCAGTATTATAAAAATGGATGTATACTTCTGTTTAGTGTTTGCTAGTGCCAAGTTCTATACTCATTATTTAACGCCCACTGCTGTCTAATGTGACTCCAGAAAACTGACTGTACTCAGAGACTGATACTGTTTTTAACCCACACTGTGTGGCTGAAATGGTTTACAAAATTCTGTAGCCAATCATACAGGAACATCAATAGCTGATCACTCTGGCAGAATATTCCATTCCAATATACTTACATAGTTTAAATATACAGATTATTAAATATTTTCCACATTTCTAAACTTCATTGCAAGACCAAAAGATGTCCTCTACTTACTCAAAGCAAGGTAGCACCTTAGGAATTAATATAAGGAGTAGAATATAGTTGAATACAGAAAATACAAATAAAACCACCCCCAAAATCATCTCAGTGTGAAAGACCCAGGGAGTGCGGAGTGGGTAACAGCTGATGCTGATTCCCCCTTAGTAAGTATCCCTCAAGGTGGAATCACATTAGTTAGGAACAGATTTTTGGTGCAGTGTGTATGATACATGAGGAATATTATGTATTCTTGTTACAACAAATTATCAAGAGAATTATCAGAGCAGAATTTTTAAAATAAGAAAAAAGCTCCAATAGAATGATTAATGGTAAATACATCTGCAATTTTCTTGTCTCTTTTTTAGTGTTACCTGTTCCACATGTATGTGGGTGTAAGAGCTGGTGGTGGCATTGGAGATGAAATTGAGGACCCTGCTGGAGACCCTTATGAAATGTATCGAATCGTCTTTGACATCACATTTTTCTTCTTTGTCATCGTTATCCTACTGGCCATTATTCAAGGTACCACTACTAACTGTAGTAGACATGGTTCAAAATCCGTTTGTCACTGTAAACCATAGTTATGTTTGAGGTAAATTTAGCAGTATTGCTGTAAAGACTCATTTCTAAGTTTATAAAATCATTAATTCTGAAAGTAATAATTTTATATTAATTAATACATAATGTCCCAAGTATTACACAAAGTCAAAGTACAAGGAGTGTAACTTACCCGGGTTGTGCAGTGTTTATGAACACTTTTACAAGTATCCAGCAATGATGAAGCTTGTGCAGGATCACTGTTCTTCCTATACTAAGCATTCAAACTTAGGAGAGCCTTGCTGAAGACACTCTTCCCACTTTTCACTTAGAATCACCACAGCTGGCTGGGAATTGAAGCTTTCTCCTTGGAAAGGGTAAATGACAGGGACACATAGCCATTTCCTCCTTTCTTTAGAGGCTGATTTGCAGTTTTAATTGGTTTGCAGCAAACAACACCCCTCTTCAGTGAGAGGCAGCATTCAGCACTCATTGCATAAACTCTTCTGAGGCTGTTAGGAAAAACACCACGGTTTTATGGCAGTCTGGTGGTAAAGAAAAAAATGCAATGCATCTAAACTGAGAAAAAGTTACAAATGTCACAGCTCCCAGAAAAATCCAATTCTTTTCTTATTACTTTGAAAATGAAAAAATCATTCAAATGTGAAGCAGACTTACAAACTGGCCAAGGTGGGCTATGAGAGCAGAGCTGTCTTTATTGAACAAGAGCTGGGATACATGAGTTTCATGAGAAGGAGAGTGAAAATTAATTTCATTCAGGGGAAAAAAAGAGATGAGCTTATGTAAGGTTAAATGGACTATAATAAAGCACAGGAAAGTCTTTCCACACTCCAGATTGTGCCTCTATGTATAAATACACTAAATTCAAGACAGTGGAGGATGACTGGCTGACGTTACTTGCAATATGAATATTGCTAAGTACTGAAGTGTTGCTACTTTTCTGTTTGAAATAGGTCTGATTATCGATGCTTTTGGTGAATTAAGAGACCAGCAAGAACAAGTGAGAGAAGACATGGAGGTAGGAAGCACATTCCATTTTTCATTTCTCTTTCATTTCACTAACTAGATTGTTACCAGTTAGTGTCTTTGAGATAAAATTCATCTGTAACCACAACTTTTGATTTCAGACCAAATGCTTTATTTGTGGAATCGGCAATGACTATTTTGACACAACCCCACACGGCTTTGAAACACACACTTTGCAAGAACATAATCTGGCAAACTATCTGTAAGTACATTTTACAACTGGAATTGTGAGAAAGAGACCTTTCAGATGTAGTGTAATTTAGGTGCACACTTTGCTGAAAATCCCAAGACAGAATTCTGTAAAACTGAGGAATATCTCCTCTCCCTTCTGGTCTCCGCTCCTCTATTCCACACAGCTTGGTTATCTTTAAAGTGTTCACCTTACACATAACAAACCTTAAAAGAATGAGACCAGAAGGCACATCAGCTACTAACTTTGCTGAAAGGAGAGCCAGGTATGGGGGAGAAGAGGGGACAGTTTAATAAGTTGCTTTAGTTTGGAAGTTTTGATTTTTGCAAGTGACTTCTGGGGGCTGGTAATGCTGATGAGATCATAGAAAATCAGTTTCAATTTGCCAAAAATAAAACCAAAACCAAAACAAAGCAAATAAAGGCACTTGTAGAAAGTTCTTGAAAGATAAGCTCCAAAAATAATTAACAATTCTGATCCTGTAGTTCTTTTGTGACAGTGGAGCTTTTTGAAAACTTGAAGCACTCAGGAGCTGTAGATGTTTAGGCTATACCACAGACCCCCAAGAGACTGCTCTTCCACTTTCATTAATAAATATAGAGAAGACTTAGGAGGATAATAAAAAAGTGGATCTTGTTGTAACTTGATTAATTACTAATACAAAGATAAATTATATTAGCAATGTGCCAGCAGAAGCAAAGAAGCTGGTAAAGTCTTACAGCACTATGGCTTTGGAATACTGCATCTGAAATTTTTTAAATTAAAGAAAACTAAAAAGTCTGCCTCCTGGAGTGGAGACTACATGATTGTTTGCATAGCAAATGACACRGACAAAATCCGTTGCCATATGTGATGAAAATTTCCATTAATATCCATATTTTTACCAGTCTACAACATCCAAGCTTTTCTTACTATATTGAATTGCTTAACTGGTACATGGGCACTTCTGAATTCACACTAAAATTAAAAATTTCCTTCATATTAGAATATATAGTGAACAATTTTTTTAACCAGGTTTCCCTTTAATTAGGCAATTGTTAAAGTCAATGTACTTTCCTTCCTTCACAATGAAAGCACATCCTAAGCTTAACTCCAAAAGCACTGCATCAAAAGTGTCCCAACATGAGTGGTATGACCTGTAAACAGCTCACAGTTGGTTCTCTACTGTGTTCCTGAAACTCTCCATATTCGACTGAGCACAGGTGCTGGGGAAGGATAGCCTCAACCTATGAGCTGTACAACAGGAGTATTCAGAATTCCTGGTGCAGCTCAGTATTTACCACACTTGTACTTCTCATGCAGTAGCCATAGTAACTCCTTCCAAGGTGAGATGTTAGAGCATATGTACATAGAATTTGGCATATGCTTAATTCAGGTATTGCTACTAACAGCGAAATGAAGGAGATGATAAACTGCATTTTTCTACATCTATAGATTTTTTGTCTGTTAGCACTTACTTCCACAGGAGACATGCTCCAGGACAAAGTTTTCTCCCTTAAAATAGGCACTTTAAATGCCTAGCAGTGTCATTGCTTTGTGGGTTGGCATAATCTTCCTCACATACCCTGGACTAGACAATGTTACGTCTCTTGTTATGCCTCCTGCATTAATACCCACTTCATATGCTTGTTTCAGGTTCTTCTTAATGTATCTAATTAACAAGGATGAAACCGAGCATACTGGCCAGGTGAGTAGAAACTAAATGGTTTTCCTTAAGTTTATCTTTCAACATTTTTATCTTCTYGAGCCCTGTTGCTGTGTACCAGCAGGTGGAACTGATGTGCCGTTGAGAAGTGGGGATGATGCCACTCTCCCCAGGAGTCTACTGCCAGCAAAAGAAAAGAAGGGTTAAAACAAAAGGGGGTGGGGGGGATGATGCATTGTGCTATTTCGCCCAGCAATCAACTCTGTCTGAAGTCAGTTACTAGTGATCTTACTGTCATCTTACCTCAGAAAAGAAAATCTCAAATGCACCAGGTGTAGTTTATTCCCAAAAGGCTTAAGCAGTTAAGCTACTTTATTTGTCATCAAAATGTCTATGTATATGTAGATAGGGATTTGGGTATCTGTATGTTTAGCATTGTTAAGCCCTAAAGGTAAATAAATAAGAAAAAAAAATCTAGGATTTAATTATATCATATCTCTAATAAGAAGCTCAGGCAAATGCTACAAAAGTACCTTTGTTTTCCATTCAAAGGAAAACACATTTGCTTATATACAGATTTATGAGCAAGTTTGCTCTGATATAAATAGATTGATTTATACTTAGATATTTTACCATTATAGAGCTTAAATTTCAGTAGTACTGAATCAAGAGAAGTATAAAACTTTTATAAACATTACTTAGTTACAATCCTTTGAGTTCCAGTGTCTTTACAGTTTTACTCCATGGAAATAGGCACAGTATGTGGTTATTGTTAAAGGTTTATCTGCAACACTAAGTGCACTGTGACTGTTAAATTAAATACTCTTTCTCATTTTCAGGAATCATTTGTGTGGAAGATGTACCAAGAAAGATGTTGGGATTTCTTCCCAGCAGGGGACTGCTTCCGAAAACAGTATGAGGATCAACTTGGCTAATACCACAAAAGAAATTATTTATTCATGAACTGCTAAGATCCAGTATACACAAAAAAAGTCTATACTTTTCATGGTGTAATTTCACAGCTTGTATTTGCTTTAAATGTCTTTAAATTTCAAGACACAGATAAAATTTGACACTATTTCAGAGGCTTTTTGTACCTACCATGTATGAAACAGGTTTTTGTTGGAATTTTAATTAGGAAAAAACTATGCCAGATTAATTTAAGCCTTCCAGTTCAAACATGGCCTAAAATTATAACAACTTTTTAACCACATCATTAACCTGGTGTTTGGCAGTACAGTTGAAAGGGCTAAAAGGCATCTTAATTGCACATTTGACATTGAAGAACTTGAACATCAGAGGCCGTAGTACCTCAGAAGAAATAGTCCAACTAACTGCTATCCAGTTTTTCCCCATAGTATTTGCTAGTGAATGTATTAAGATACAGTTTGAAAAGCTTTAAGCAGTTAAAAAGAAATCATTTTCAAACACTTTGTCAACCTTGAAACATTAAAGTGCCTTAAAACCTCTGTAGACATAGCTATGCAAACTTTTTATTTCTGTTAGTGTTCTAGATGAACAGACCCATTAACTGTATTGCTTTTCTGTCTTTCTGTATCAAACTGCACTTGAAGTTTGTTTATACACTACCTTCAACGACAGCTTATTAGATGCTGCTCTTAAAAGACATACACTGTATCAAAATGAACACAATTTAAATCTTAGGCCAAGATAAAACAACGCTCTATGGTCACCTGCAAGTAGAAGTTGCTAAGATTATGCATTTTTTTTTCTTCTAATAAAAAGTGCCCACTGCAATAAAGTATTACAAACCAAATATTACTGTTGCTGTCATCTTTCCCTTTTCTCTACAATATGGAGTTCTGTGACAATGGTGACTAAAAACACATGTATTCATTGTTCATCCACAGCTTTATTTTAAGGACTACATCAAGCAAGTACAAGCTGAAATAACTGTTCTCTTTGTGCACTGTAGCCTGCTTCTTTAGCAAAGAAAACTCTTAATTTCACCACAAGTTTTAGACCTTTCTAAATACATCATTAGTCTTCAACAATTTTCAAACTCATCTAAATTAGTTTTGGTTGCACAAAATTTTAAGTGCCAGCAAAAAAGCCCAGGCATTTGGCATACAGAGAAAGGAAATAAAAAGGAAATAAAGAAAGCGCCAACTTTCTATGTCATGTTTGCTATATTCAATTATTCATATGAGAAAATGTGAGCTTCAGGCAATCATGCTGTCCAGCCAATCTTCAAGCTCCTCTTCAGTAACATCTTTAGATGTACCTTGCTGTTGCTGGGATGATGTGCTCTTCTCTTCAGGCCTATCTACTTTCAAAGGCTCTAGAAAAGTGAAAAGAACAGACTTGAAAATCTGGAAGCAATTCCAACCTCTGTCCTGCATGGTTTTGCTTTTAATGCACAACTGACTGTATTTAAACACAATCTCTCCTTGAAGAACAATGTGTCTTATTCCAAAAAAAGTTTCCATGCTAAACTTAACTTTGTAGAATCAATGCTAGTAAAGTTTGAAACTAGTATTTAGGAGAAGCCATCAGAAATAGCTGTCAATTCTTCTGTACACTTTGGTAGCACAGTGAACTAAAGGCTTATCTTCCCTGCAATAAAATTCTCTAGGAGTATACTTTTCTTTTAAAATTTGTCTTTTTTGCTAAATCATAAACTCAATGCTGTTTTGCAGAAGAATTTCACTTAAAGTGAACCGACAATGGTGAAACTTCAGTTTAGTGAGGAATTAAAACAATATAAACAAATAGGTCAGAACACAGCTCCAGATAAAYGAAATGCAGTGTGACAGAGATGATCATAGTGGTACTGTTGACTGGCTAATCAAAAATTCAAAAACATCACCAAGAGAGAGAGCAATGGAAATTAAAGAAGGGCACGCTGGGGAGAAAAACTTACCATTATCCTTACAATCCACTTTCAAATCTTTCTCAGTTGATACGCTGCAGGGTAATGTACCTGACACAGGTCTATCTTCTGTATTAATGGGAGCCTCTAAATTCAGGAGAAGATCTAGTTCTTCATCCAAATGGTCAGTGTTTTGATTTGATAGTGGATGGACTCTCTGAAATGATTCTCTTTCATTTGCTCTAGAACCATTTTTACTTCCAGGTTCTGAAGGAGTAACAGAATTACCAACAGGATGGGAGACCAACAAGGTTTCACTTTGAGCCAGAGACTGTCGAAATAGCTGCTCTCTCTTCTTCCCATCTTCAAAAATTTTAGATTTCATCTGTGGAATCTCCTGAGGTGTTGATGCCTAAGAATACAAGAAAGGACTTGAGTTCTTGTAAGGATTATCTATTATTACTATTCTAATTTGTATTATAATGCATACTTGCTGTATTTGATCATTTAAGAAGGTACACTGAACTTGAACAGAATCAAATTCAGAAGTAAACTAAAGTTACCTTGATATTTTTACAAAAGCAAACAAAAAAATACAAGTTCCTTTTATCCCTTATTACAGAATATGTGACTGTATGCTAACACAGATAGTGATTGATAGAATTGCAGAATGGTTTGGTTTGGAAGAGACCTTTAAAGATTACCTAGTTCCAAGCCACCTGCCATGGGCAGGGAATTCCACTAGACCAGATTGCTTAAAGCCTCATCCAGCCTGTCCTTGAACACTTCCACAGATGGGGAATCCCTAACTTCTCTAGGAAAGCTGTTCCRGTGCCTCGCCACTCTTACAGTAAAATACTTCTTCCTGAAATCTAATCTAAACCAAAGCTCCTTCAGCTTAAAGACATATCTTCTGTCCTATCTGTGCATGCCCTTGTGAAAAGCCCCTCCCCAGCTCTGCTCTGTMGGCCTGCTTAAGGTCCTGGAAGGAGCTGTGAGATCTCCCTGGTGCCTTCTGTTCTCCAGGCTGAAGAGCCCCAACTCTCACTGGAGATAYGCTTCAGGCCTCTGATAAGCTTTGTTCATGTCTTTCTTGCCCTGGAGACCCTAGAGCTGGATGAAGCACTCCAGGTGAGATCTCACAAGGGCAGAGCAGACAGCGAGAATCACCTCCCTCAACCTGCTCATCAGGTTTCCTTTGAAACACGGCACACATTGCAGAGTCATGTTGAGCTTTTCACTCACAAACACCCCCAAGTCCTTCTCCTCAGGGCTAGTCTTAATCCTTCTGTAATGGCCATATTTCTCCTTGCTTGGACAGATGGCTCCTTTTAAGAATTTTGGTTTTATATTTAAGTTTCACTGGCTCTTTTGCCCTTACATTAGTATTTTCTTTTTCACAGTTTGAAGGAATGCTTTACTAATATTGTTGCCACCTCCCTCCTCCCACCACTGGAGCATAAATGACATTTTCTTCACCTGTAAAATTGACAGTTCTACCGATTGATTCATGGGAAAGAACTATGTATGTTGGTATTAACTATGGAGAAGATTAAATCATAATTAAAAAAAATTAGCAGGAAGAATTTGAAAGCATTCAAAAAATTTTGGAGCAAGCTTTTAACAGCTGCTAACAAGAGAAGCAAACACCAAGACAGTACAATCATTCCATGTCAAACACTTATACCTGGTTTCAAATCTCATTTGCTGCTCATCCAAGCATTTTGTTTAAAGCCAAATGAGCACACACAATGTGTTGATAGTGGGTTATCCTGCATTACATGCCACATAACATGCCAGTCTAAAGGAATGCATTCTACTTATGTTTGAAGACTAATCATTCTTGCATGCATCATTTCTCATAAAATATTTACATTTTCTTGTGAAATTTCACAGCATTACCTGCACAAGGTCAGCAGGTACATTCARCCTCAGATGCAGAGGCAATTCCTGAAGGGCCTGGACCAAAGACTGGCAGTCAACAGAAAGTGCAGAGAACTGAAATACAATTCAACACATAGGACATTTGTGAAAAAAAAACCCAACCAACCAAACACAAAGAAATCCACCAACAAAACCACTAATAATTTTAATCTGTTACATTCCCCAGTTCCACACATTCAAGAAATCTAATGAAACACACATATTAGTGGTTTAAAATACTTTTATGAAGCAGTTGGCCTAAATAATAACATATAAACACCTACAATGCAAATAATCACTTAAGGTTAAAAAACAAGGTATCTATAGAGTACTTAGACAATACCTTGAAATTCCAGAGAAAGAAATAGTTGAGGAAATTGACAATGTGATAAGAAGCTTTTCCAAGTGAAACATCTTTTAAACTGTGAAGCTTTCATACAGTGTGAAATCCCATTCTTTACTGAGTTGCCACTATTTCCTAAGCAATCAATCCATGTATCTCCTGTGTAGCTGAATTGTTTCTAATGCCTAAACAGGGGCCTTTTCACACTTCCCCATCTTTTAAAATGCTTTGATTTACAAAAGGACAAGTATATAGTTACAAACACTTCTAAAATGATACTCAGGAAAGACATGCTACTGCTGCTAAATGATGACGCATTACTGTGACAGTGATGAACCTTCCTTTTCTCTTGACCCTTTTTAAAAAACAAATTTGCACCAGCAATAAAAACACATAATAGACCTTCATTATTTGCACTTTCTACAGAACAACCCATATTTCAGTAGTTTTAAAACAGATTTCAAGCTCAGAGTACAGCAGAACATTCTGAGCACATTCACCATAGATGAGAATCTGATATCCATCACATATTTTAAAATCTGACAACAAAATGTTTCAGTTCATTCTATACTCTCATTTTCATGGAAGTAGAGAAGTTGCTTCCAAATCACACTTAGACGGATAAAAATTTGTCCTTCTCAATATGATGTAGACTGGCACAGACATTTAGAAGTCCAAGTACTCATAAATTACGAGAGTTCTGTGCCATATCATAAGAGATTTGTCAAAGAAATTCACACTGCTTCCAAAAGCCAGTCAACAGGATGGCTTTTAACACCTGCACATATAGCAAGAATAAATATCAAAGACATGTGTGATCTGACAGTCTATTCACAAAATTAAATTGAAAAAAAAGGAAAGAATGCAGTTGATTTAACAGTTTCTTGTATCCAAATTCCGGTTCTGGAATCCAGTAATGAGAATAAAAGGACCAAACAAAAAACTGATGCAAGAATTTTTCTTGTTTACTAAGAATTTTGTTTTACAATGGATTAGTGATCATCATCGAAGATGATTCACTGGTGCAAGTAACCTCACGAAGTCTTCATCAAATCATTCTTGTTGTCCAACAGTGAACTAGACTGTCAAAATAACTGGATTTTTTGAACGATACTAATGATCAAATATGGCTTCTGCACACTTGCAAAAGACAAGGAAATTATATGAATCTGGTAACACAAAAAATTCTAAAATGTATAATTGAATAACATTTAAGTGCATTTTGGAAGAGCTATGTATACTTGCAAAAATATTAACATGAATGAACATTGCAAATGAAAGTTAAAAAGTGGAGATAGGGAAGAGGAGGAAAGGCTGAGGATGAAGGAAAAGAGGAATTTGGGAAGTAACATAATAGAAAAAGGAATTTGATATCTAAGTAGAGATTTCTCTAAAAGTGGTATTTTAATAAAAAGCAAAGGGATCAAAACAGTATTTAATAAATTATGAACACTTCATGGCACATATAGTCACTTGTTTAAAAACAAAGTTGAGGCATACTTTGTTGTTGGAATTGCCAGATTTTACTGAAAAATCCAAACAACTTATACCAGTTTGCTTTTTCAATTATAGACCATTTTTGAAACATTTTATTTCACTTTACCAATATGCAATGGAACCAATATTAATCTATATGTTGTAAAAATAGTATTCTTTATAAACTGTTTTTTTAATTGTTGATGCCACTGTGACATTCCCATTCCACATTAGAAATYGATGCTTTGCCATTGCTTTCTACAAAAGACAGGGAAGGAGAAATATCTAATCATTCTGCAATTATTGTTATTTCTTTTCTGCTTTATTCTGTTTCCTCATAATCAATTTACTTCAGTCTAAAATTCTCAAAACCTGTATATAATGTGTAGACAGGCAAAGAACTAGAAAGAGGTAAGCTAAGAGGCAAAGGCCAGGAATTTTGCAAATGATATCTAGGATGAAAAGTTGACTTGGATCTAGCTTTCAGGGAAAACAAGGATGGGTGAGAAACAAAAAAGAGAAGGCTGAAGACAAGAGACAATGTGAAAAATTTAGATAATGCTATGAAATCATCTGGGACAGGATTATATAAGCAATCAAAGGAAAGGAAATGGTGACAATATGTGGCTTCTGTCTGCTCACAATGGCTTTAGCCATTCAGGAATTAATGAATGTGTTTTAATCACCTAAATGCTGTAATCACAAGCCTCTGAGGAAATTATGAAGACATTAATATTTGGGATACTGACATCATCCTTCACCCTAGGAGCAGAGGAATTGATAAGAAAAAATAGTCACTGAAAGACTGTTCCACTGAAGCAAACAGGTGTTGGTCTAAATAAATGCTACATTTGGATGTATTTCCTTATTTTAATTTGACTTTGCAACTCTAAAGTACCTTTAAATAACACTTCCCAGGGAATAATTGTTGTAATATTTTAGAAAATAAACAGCAAATCTTAAAAAGTTGAATACATATGGATGCAACAAGAAACACTCAAGCTGAGTTTCACAGCAATTTTAAGAAAAGCCTGAAGACAGAAGTATGTATTTTGCAAAAATTTAAATGACTTGCATGAGGAAGACAGCTGCAGAGATTAAGACACTTTAAGGTATCCTGATAGAGAAAACAGGAGACTTCTCTTGCTCTGCTCCTTTTCATTCAAGCATAAGGAACTCATACACAAATAATGTAGTCAGTGCCCTAATTATTTAGGGCATGAAGTTTCAACCAGAGTATGTGAACTGTTAATTTGAAGGAACTAGAATACTTCATAGTCCAATACATGAATATACTAACAGGTCAATATAATAACAGGTTTTGTTACAGTTATTTTATTAAACATTATCTCTTGAACACAGCTGAAAAAGGAAGGCTGAATACCTATGTCAGTAAAGCAAAGAGACAGTCCCATATTTTCACTGGAGGGCTTTCTTGTTCTTTCCTCCCAACATTACTTAAAAACGTAGCCTGCTGCTTTGATTAGTCTTCAGGAGAAAAAAAAAAAGGACAAGGCCCAAGGACAAGAGCCTCCAGCATTAGAGAAAGGCTGACAAAAATATACAGAATAAAGAGTGCTATTATTGTACTAACAATTCATTGCCGAAGGCACCACTGCCTAGATATTCTGTCCCAGATACTTATCTTTATGAAATCATTTGAATGACAATTCTGTTACCTGCTTATGGCATATACTTTCTTTATCCCACTCTTTTTCATCAGCAAATCGAAACTGGGTAAAGGAATCTCCTAAAGAAACAAAATAAAAATATATTTCTTTAAAACAAGAATAACAAGTTTTCCAACCCTAAAGACATAAATTCAATTAATAAATCTCACCTCTTCAACAAATTTTTATGTAATGCTGCTTGTATTCACAATATTAAACTTATTCTAGCCAAAGCTCTATAGAACTTTTAATCGCTTATTGCAAAACAGTACTAAAAAGGGACAACAAATACAAAACTGAATGATGAAGTGTTAGATGCCATGTCAGCATGCAAAATTTTCATTCAGAAGTCCAGTTTGGACAACATACTAGGAATACACACAGTATTCACAGAATTAATTTCTAATGAACAGCTTTGAAAGTTCTGTAGATAGTCTTTCTCTTACCAAAATGCACATATTTCTAAAAACTGATTATGGATACATTAAAAAAATCACTTTATACAATCTAAATAAAGACTTCCAGTTGTCTGGTATCTATATTGTCTCTCTTCCTTGAACTAGTCCCTCCTCCAGCATATCATCAAAATAAAGCATCAAACCCCAAATTCCAATTCATATGCAAGAAGGACCTGAATTAAAAGAAACGGCTTAAATAGGTCTAATTAAGTTAAATACATGATCTTAATTACAGCATTTTCTACCCTATTGCATTCTATCAAGCGAGCAGAAACTTTCTCTTACTATAAGGGATGTTGGATTACCATTTTGCTTGAAACATGGTATTTTTATTGCGTCACCATACTGCATTACAAAAGGCAGATCTTTTTATTTATTTACTGAAAAAAAATACAAGAATTCCAGTAACTCAAAAAAAAAATCATTAAGGTCTGTGACAGAGGAAACTTGAAAGATTATGGATGCAAGATGATGGCCAAAGGTATAGAGTAAGAGAAAGCTTAAGAAGTTGCTTCTTTGACTGCAATTTAAGGTTTCTTCAGGAAAATACACTGGGATCAAGAACTGGTTTATGATTCTCCACACTCATAAAGTGGGTAATGACAGATCCTCAGTTTGATACTGTATCGCCAAATTAAAGGGTATGACTTAAACTGTAGTTTAATTAGGCTCTTTAAATAAGTTAACAAAGCATGCCTTTCAGATGGAAAAGCAAAACTACAATTCACAGTAGCATATTTAATGCAAAGTAGGTCAATGAGAATGTTAGTCTAACCAATTATCTTTTCACAAATTGCTTTAGCCTGAAAATAACCTCCTTTTATGCCATGAATAGTAATCAAACCTCTTGCAATAACTCTGAGTTCCTTTCAACATAAAAAAAATACTTTTCTTCACGTGAATAATTTTTATTTTACCCATCAGTATCATTTGGCCTTCAAACACAGAGTAGATGAAAACAATGCATTCACGTAAACCTCACACACGGTCTTTGGTAACAGTCATAACAAGCCTTAATATTGTTTATTGTTTAAAATGTGAGATTATTATGAAAACAGCAGATCTAAACCACTATGCTTTCCTGCTACTTGAATATATCATACAGCTAAATCAATTTATTTAAATAAAATGTATCTTTAATTTTTTCATTAGCCCAATTATCTTTTCATACAATTGTTCATTGAATAGATGATTCAAAAACATACTACCTGTAATCTATAATAAATATTTTCTGGTTTGTAAAACTTGAAGTCTAAAAATAGAAAAAAATTAAGAAAACCAGTTTTCAGTAGGAAAAATTATATCAGTGGAGTGATTTTGTTAATTTAAAACTCTCTCAGTCACATAAAACTGAAGATAGAGAAAAAATACTCTGTAGTCAGAGATGAAATTGCCCATTGGAGGGGAGAATAACAAGGAATTTAACATGATTCTTCTCAGATTTCCATGACTGTAAAGAAGTGCTGCAAGTGCAAATACAATACTCTAAATCCACTTTTTTGAATCATTATCTCTCTTTTATCCCCCTTTAGGTACTGAAAGGGGCTATAAGGTCTCCCCAGAGCTTTCTCTTCCCCAGGCTGAAATCCCTCAACTCTTTCATCTTATCTCCACAGGATACTGATGTCAAGGATATTTGTAGTCTGCACTGCAGACAATAAAGGATATTTGCAACCAGATTCAAAACGACCAATATTCTAAATTATTTCCATAGCACAACTGTGCAGTACACTAGGCACACTTTAAAATAAAAATATGTGAATCTGACCAAACAGCAGGATTATCTGATCAAGGCTAAATTATATCTTCAAAATTTAAAATGTATCACAGATAAAGGAGTGAGAAGGAAGGATCTTTGGAAACTAGCACTGGCTCTGTAAAAAAAGAGTGTCTGTTCAGGAAGAACAGAACTAATTCAACAGAGAGGAACTGCAGCCTATTGAAATGAAGGACAGATATTAATTTTTCAAGTGAGGAGCAGGGTGAAGACAGCAAATGCCAAAATGCACAATGGTTCAAAAAGAAAAAAAACCCACACTCAAAAAAATCCCCCCCCAAACATTTTTTATTTTTTTTTATTAAAAGCTAAAGCAGAGGCTTACCAGAGTCAGGAAAACCAAATAAATTAAATTATACTGAGAGAGATTCAGAGAAACAAACAGTAGCACATTTGCTTCTGCATGAATGCCAGGTGACTAAGAAATAAGACAGAAGAAACTGGAATGCATTGAAGACTGCATTGGAATGCATTAAAGAGCTAAATAACAGCACAAGAATACTGGGAACAGTGAAAGGGAAACTGGGAAAGACAATGCAATACCAGCTCAATGTGATTGTTAAATTAAGTAGAAACTGTAAGGAATTTAATGGCTATTTTTGGGGAAGAGTCAATATGGCATGTGAAGTTCTGCTGCGTGATCTAAGACAACTTCTTGAAAGAAGCAAAATATCATGTGCATAAGTAGGATCTAGTTCATACAATTTACATGCATTTCCAAAAGCTCTCACTGACATCCCACTCCCTTTCTCACCCAAGGCTTCAGAGCAGCAAAAAGAAGAGGAGGATTGATTTGAATAAATAATTGCCTTAAAAAGAAGAAAAGAGTAAATTATCCATTTTTACATTAGAAGAAACAACCAGTGCAGTTCTCTAGAATTGTAGCTGTTTTTGATCTCTTCTCTCAATTAAAACAGAAGAGAAAAAAAAGAGGAAAATGAAGTAACAAAATTTTCTGATGCTACCAAGCTTTTTGTGTTAGTGCAGATGAATGTAGGCTGTGAAGAGTGACATAAGAACTCCATAAGATTGAGAAAGTAGATTTTAAAATGGCAAATGAAGCTCAATATCAAAAAAGCAAAATGCAGCAATTCTCAAAGAAAGTTTAGAGCTGACCAACACCATTCTGAATCAGAATCTCAGTCCTGCACAGTGTGCAAAGGAGCAAACTCTTTGGAACTCTTAAAAAAGCAGAAGTGAACACACAGAACATCATTACACCACTATCATGTATTACCTCGAATATTGTGCAGTCTTGCTTTCCCAAGCCCAAAAAATGTAACAGAAAAGGCATAGAACAGATTCTGGATCAGAAACAATTTAGTACCTTAAGCCAAAGGAGGGGAGCCAAGGCAACATGACGCAGATCTAAAAACATGAAAGCCATTCAAAAAGGGTATAGGACTAACTTTCATTGTTTCTTCTCACCTAGAGGCAGCAAATGAATTCAGCAGGTAACAGACTTGAAACAAATGAAAAGTGGCAAATCTTTGTAACTTGAAGCTGGGTTGTGAGACTCCATGCCACCAGATGGTGCAGACAGCACAACCAGCAAGGAGGGATATAGGTAACTATTTCTAAACACAAGGATTGCACATCTGGCTCAGCAAGTCCCTCAGACATAAACTGTTGCAGGTCAAGCAAATGTTTGGGAAAGGAGCATATAATATAGTAAATTCTGGTGCCTTCGCTCAGGTGTCTCCAGATGCACCTTGGATCTACTTCAGTAGAACCAACTCTAAACTAAAGCAAATAGCTAGGGTTTTTTACTTACAGGGCTCTGCCCTTCTCTTGATTGCCTTTCTGCAAGAAAAAGAAGGAAGAAAAGCCGGCAATTCACAAACTTATTTTTAATCAGTAGCTAAGTGTTCTTTCAAGTCAATGCACGTTTGTGTTTTCTATTTTTTCCCTATTTTCTTTTTCTTATCACTTTTTCTTATCACTTTTCATATATTGCTTTTCAGAAGGCTGCAAAAAATCAATGAAACTGCACTGAACAAAAAAATACATTGAAAATTTCACTCAACTACAGAGCTGCTTATTCATAAGTACCAATCCCATCTCCTCCATTATTCACTTTTTTACTGAATAAACAATAAAACTATATTTAAGGTTAAAGTTACTGATTTCCCCATAGGTTAAGCTTAAACTTTTCATTAAGTTTAAGCTAGTCACCTTAAATATTTACATTTTTCCTGATGCTTTCTGACATTTTCTAGTGTCATTTTTTTCAGGCCACTAATTTATAACATACTTAGTGATTTTTAAATGTCACTGCAGCCAGCTTGCAATATTACACAAAATATATAAATCCACGGAGCATGTTGTTTTTTGAGCAGTATCATTCATGAAGGCTGAAAAAAAAAAAGAAAAAGATTGCTCATAACTTAATAATAAAAATGAAGCTTAATTACTAAATAAATACATGAGACCAATGAAATTTGTGATTCTTCCTAGGGGTAGGGAGAGCAAACTTCTTTGGGCAAAAGGGAGAGAACTCATCTATTTTGATAAGCCTGGATCCAAGAGAGGAAACAGTAGCCTAACAGAAGAGTTTGCAATCCTCACAGACTGTCAGGTTAAGGGAAGGAATGATCTGACCTTTGTGGAGATCCTGTTTTCTCCAATACCACATAAGCAACTAATAACAGTAAGCACATATCCACAGCAGGAAGCAACACTGAAATTCAACACTGGAAGAAATGAAGAAATGGAAGGTTCCCACCCACAAAGTAAGATTTGCATAACATCAAACTGCAGATCTCAAAAGAGAAAACCATTTACATTTGCTGGCACAAGGTACTCCTATATCCTGGCTTGTGAGGAGAGACATCATGAAAAGAAA